CAGTGGTAGAATGCTTGCCTACCATGTGCAAGGCCCTGGGTTCGATCCTTGTCACCACATATAAATAAAGGTATTGTGTGCAACTACAACTAAAAAGTAAATAAATATTTTAAAAAAATGGCTTTATAGTCATTTTGTTCCTGAGATAGAACTCTCTCATATAATTCAGAGACTCGTTACAGAGCCTGATTTGTAATGGTGACTGCTGCTTTCTCATGGTTGTGAATAACATGATGTGTGCCTCCTCTTAGTCCATAAATTAAGCAGGCCAAAATATGACAATGACATCAAATATGCAAGGAAGGTCTTATACCTGACTTACAGAAAATATTTCACTGCAGGTTCTGTTGTGGTGTTCCTCTTTGCTAAGGAAGAAGGAGCTCAACTCTTTTTTTTTTTTTTTAAAGAGAGAGTGAGAGAGGAGAGAGGAGAGAGAGAGAGAGAGAGAATTTTTTTTAATATTTATTTCTTAGTTCTCGGCGGACACAACATCTTTGTTGGTATGTGGTGCTGAGCTCTTTACCTACTGTAACTACAAAAGTTATGAGAGAAAAGACTAGGTGGGACTAGGGAGATACTCAGATCTTAAAGGAGCTATATTACTAGATGTTTCAAGCCAAGCAAAATTGATTGCCTTGGATATTCCTTGCCATAAATGAAACTAACATTCTTTTAAAATTACAGAAAGGAGCCACGTGGTGGCACAARCCTGTAATTCCGGAGGCTTGGAAGGCTAAGGCTTGAGGATCAAGAGTTCAAAGCCAGTCTCAGTATAAATGAAGCACTAAGTAACTCAGTGAGACACTGTCTCTAAATAAAATAGGGCTGGGGATGTGATTCAGTGGCCTAGTGCCCCTGAGTTCAATCCCAGGTTACCCTCCCCCTCGAATTACTGGAAGGAATCATCATGCACAGTTTGACAGTATCAGAATATCAGGGGGTAGCAGAAGGCTTTCAGAGAGGAGCAATTATTTTTCTGATCATTTCCAACCTAATCACCCTGGAATACATTAGGAAAAGATAATGTGATATTAAATTTTGAAGTATTGATTCTAATATCTTAGCTACTTATCAGCTAGTTAAGAAAATATGGGGTTGTATAATATGCAGAAATCAAAAAATGAACAGCTTGTGGGTGTGTTGTGCTTGGAAAATGGCTGGTTCTTCCAATTAAGCAGAATAGTGTCTTGGTAAGAACATTAATTTGTATGAGTTTAGTGAAATTGGTATTAGTATTAACAGATTGATGAGGTAGGGAGAATGAGAAAGATAACACTTATAACTCATTTATACAAGGAAAGCAAAATTGAAAGTCAAAGCATCTTGGGGAAAAGATTATATATGGACATGTATGTAAGAAAGCTGTAAGGTCCTAGACCATGTAAAAAAAGAAAAAGGGGCAAGCTATATGGACATGCTATCTGAACATGAGTTATTTATGGACTGATGTTAAGGAAAGCTAGAAACACTTGACTTTGAGAAAGAGTATGCAATTTTTGTTCTGGACTTGGGTAATATGGAAGAATTTACCAATATATCTTGCTGGTTTGGGGGGGGTTCTGGAAGTGGGAAAATTTGGAGTCTGTCTCTACCATACCCCAAATTCTCTTTGCACTTAGGTTTATCAGATGTTGTCATAAATTGCAATCCCCTAGGTATATGCTCTGTGTTTCTTCACTCATGAACCCCTTCCCTTGGGGGCATCAAATTCCTTCCCAACCTTTTGGAGCAGCTGAGTGACCCCCCACTGCCTGGCAATAAGAGAGGGAACTTGAGCTGTTAATAGAGCTAAAGTGGTTTTTAAAAAATCTCCTGAGAGATTACAAGTATGCCTTTTAACTCAGTGCTTGTCTAAAGTAACCTCTCTGTCCTTCCAGTTATTAATTCACACTAGACAGGCAGCAAGCTCAGAATGGCTGTTGGTTGGGAGAAGGTGAGGTATCTGGGAGGGCTGATCCTCATTGCCTTGTTATAACATGCTCTGATCTGTAATATGGGATCTGCAGACAATGAGGACTAAGTGAGATCATGTCTGGAAAGTAGCCCAGATCCTTAGAAAGTATTAAAATGGGTTTTATGGTTAAGTATCTATTAGACTAGAATTGCATACTGCCATTACTACAAGGACCTTAGAAATTCATGTCCTTCTTTGACAAATATTTGAGGAAACTGGATCCCAGATAGGTAAAACTAGTTAGTAGCTTGTCACCACAAACTAATGAATTGTGTGTTGAAGCAAATAAGTTTCTTAAGATTATGTCTTAAAACATGATCAAATTCTRTCCACATTTGGTCTGTACTTATAGCCTTAGAAGTCTGCAGGGAGCTTGTTGGGCACCATAAGTAAGTGAGCAAGCTGGAACTGCCAGGACAGGGAGTGGCAGGGACTGTAGCAAACTTTGTGTAAAGGAGACAAGTTGTCTCTGAATATGCAGACGGAGTRTTTTGGGACTCTCTCATTTTCTAGGGAAAATTAGAATTGGCTTCACCTGGCATGAACTAAATAAAACATGTTGGATGGGCCGGATTTGGCCTGAGGTTTACCTTGTTCCCAAAGGTATCAGATGCATGTTCACCTTTGTGGATGCTCAGTGATTAACAACAGCTAAGTTTTTCCTCTACATCAAGACATTGTTTTTGATGAATAGTTTTGACATCCTTCCCCTGCTTTACCTCAACAGAGGGAAATCCATAACCAGTACACTCCTCTCGTGTTCTTTACTGTCAGGGAAACTTTTTAATGAGAAGGAGAAAGGAAAGGTATAGGACTAGAAAGAATCACAAGCTGCTGATCTACTTTTGATTAAAGAAGAATTACCAGTTGTGTTCAGTCCAGTGTGTCTGTCAGTACTTACTTTTTTTTTTTTTTTTTTTTTTTTTTTTAGGGGCATCCAGGAAATTTAAAAAATGTTTTTATTAGTGGAGTATAGTTATACATAATAGTGCAGTTCATTTTGACATAATCATACATGCATGGACTGCCTGGTATTTTCACGTCCATCTGGGGCTTAACAGTGAAGATTTATGCCAAGATCCAGTCCTGAGACAGGGAAAAAAGAACACTAACTTCCAAACAAATACTAGATTCTTCTCTGTCACTGTGCAAATATCATCTGCCCTTTAAAAAGAGAAGCCTTCTAAGTCTCTGTCTACAGAATTCTTTTTAGCTATGACTGACTGGGAGTACCCAAAAGCTTTAAAAAATAAGCTAAATGTCAAAAACATTTCTCTGTATAATTACTGCAGTCATCTCAGTTTCTTTCTTACCCACCCACCCAGTCTGTTGTCAAAACAGTAATCAGCCATCTTAAAACATTGGTCATTGGGTTCATGTCTCTCTTTGATTTACAAGACTCCAGTTGCTAAGGGCCTCTCAATGTCCTGAAAGGCTTTATATAGTTGGTGCCCCCTGCACAGCCCTCCCATTATATCACTGACCTCACCTCCTTCTACTGCTCAGCTATGTTGACCTCCTTACTGCTCTGTACACTCTAGAATGCTTCCTCCTAGGAGTCTTTGAATTTGATGTTGTCAGTTTAGAAGACTCTTTCCCCAGATACCCCATACTTATTCTGTTGCTTCTCAGAGAAGCCTTGTATACTAAAAATTGTAATCTCCTCTGCCTCTTCTAAGCCCTGAATTTCCTATCCATACTCCCTATTTCCCTTCTCTCTCCTTCTTCCTTTCCTCCTTTCCCCCTTTCCTTTCTTCCTCCCTTCCCCATCTATCTTTTTTTCTGGTACTGGGGATTGAATCCAGTGGTGCTCCACTACCGAACTACATCCCCAGTCCTTTTCATTTTGAGATAGGGTGTCACTAAGTTGCCAAGGCTGGTCTTGAACTTCCAATCCTCCTGCCTCAGCCTCCCAAGTCACTGGGATTGCAGGTGTGTGCTACCATTCCTAGCTTCAAATAGGAATCAACAATTTTATTTATTTATTTGTTTGTTTGTTTATTTATATTTTGTAATGCCCTCCAACATGGTAGGCAAGCACTGTACCACTAAGCTCCATTCCCAGCTTCTCTCCCCCTTTTTTATAAATAGTTATAATAGTTGTCCCCAACTGCTAAGGCACATTTTACTTACTTGTATTTCCTTATTTTAAGTTCCATGAGTGTAGGAGGTTTGTCTGTCTTGTTCACTGCTAYGTTTGTAGAGCTTAAAACAGAACTGAGGAGCACAGTAGGTGCTTGACAAGTATTTGTGGGATGCATTTTAAAGATTTTTAAGTTAAGGATGGTGGTGTTTGCTGAGCTTGGTCARTAAACCTCTTGCTACTGGATCGTGGTGTAACAAGCATTTCCATGAATAGATTTTGTCTCTTTTTCAAGTTTTCTGTGTCAATTCTATCTCCTAAACATATCTTGGATTTTTTTGACTTTTCTGTATCTCCACTGTTTTTACCTTAGTTAAAACCATCGTGAGCTCTTGCTTGGAATATAGCCTCTCGCTGTCTTCTTTTGCCCACTCCAGACAGTCTCACTCAGTAGCCAGATGAGCTATCTAAAATCTAAATCTCTGGTCCTTTGGCATTCATTCCCTAGTTTGAAATCCTTCAGTGATTTCTCATCCCACTCACATAAACCTCAATATCCTTAACCTATCCCACAGGGCTCTGTGTGGTCTGGTGACAACAGTGACTTTCTCTGTTCCTCTAATAGGCCAAGGTCCTTCCTTTTTGCCTTAGGATCTTTGCTGTTTTCTCCCTTTCCTTTGTTGTTTGCCCCCTTCTTAATCTGGTTGACATTCCCCTTTTCTGGAAATGTCCTTTCTCCGAGTCCTTATCCTAGTTAAGTTCCCTTTATTTGCCACAATGGTAATGAATACTTGCAAAATTATTTGTTTAATGGCTGGCTGTATGTGTAGCTAGAGCTTAATGAATATTTTTTTTTTTTTGTGGAGCAATAAATGAAAACAGCACATAGATGTTGTGTCCCCTAGGGACTGGGGGCCTTTTGAAATGATATCTTATTAATTAATGAAATGTTTCTCTCCACAGAGATTATTTCACAGACGATGATGGAGAGATGGTACCCAGGACAAGTAATGCAGCAGGTAAGGATGCCATGGACTTTGTCTTGTTACATTCTTTTTTAAAAAAAATTTTTTTTTTTAGTTGTGGTTGGACACAATACCTTTATTTTATTTATTTATTTTTATGTGGTGCTGAGGATTAAACCCAGTGCTCGCATGTGCTAGGTGAGCCCCAAGCCTTGTTACATTCTTGGTTTCCTGTTAATCATCATTCTTTTGAATTTGGGGTCTTTTAAGTTCATTATGACAGACTCCTCAGACTTCTGTGGAGTTCCAAATTTGTACATATCACTGCAGCAGTGGGAATTATATAATCTCCACTGGGGAATTATGTGCTGCATAAAATTATATGTGCTAGGAAGCAGCACAATGCAGTAAATCATAATTGAAATACTTATGTGAATGCTTTGCACTTTTAATGATTCTATAATTGCCAGATTAAAGTCACTTGTAAAATGATTAAAATAAATTCTGCCACTCAAAGGAAATCTCTACCCTAATACACCATTAAAATGGTTATAATAATATTGTCAATCTTGGGGATAAGATTAAATGACAAAAAGCCCTTGGTATAGAGACTGTCAAGGAACAAGCACTCTGTAAATCTTATTATTGTTATTAAAGTAGTCATAACAATAGCACAATCATTACTGCTGTAATGTTAGCCAGAGATCTACTTGAATTATCAAACCAAAGTGAGAGACAGCTCTCTCTTTGGGGACCATTTTTCTCAAAACCTTACTCCATATTGAGGGTTTTACTTACTTGTTAAGTGATTGGCCTTTTGCATAGTAGCCTTGAAGCATTGATGGTTCATGTGTATCACATGGAATGAAGGTTTAATTGGAACCAAGTAAGGATTTGAGAGTTACTGAAAATTAGTATTTGAACCTGTGTATGTTAAATTTAGAAATTCCAAAGGTTATGATACTCAACATTTTGAATGTCTGGGTCCTGCATTTTGAGGAGAATATCAAAGAATTAGGGCAAAAAAGGAAGGGGAATGGATGAAATGCCCACTACCAACAGACATTTGGTGAGATGTTTTTATTTACCATTCATAATACATGTAAGAGCTTTGTGAGGACATATTATTATCCCCATTTTTATAGAGGCAATGAAGCTTAACAAATTAAGAGATTTGCTTAAATTCTCACAACAGCAAGTGGTCAGGATTCAAATCCCAGCTCCTTATGATCTGCTCTTTCCATCATGTTTCACTAATCTCCATGTAATATATCTGTTATTTATTTATTTTTGTGGTACCAAGGGTTGAACCCAAGGGTGCTTAACCACTGGGAAACATACCCAGCCCTTTAAAAAAATTTTTTTTTTAGTTGTTGATGGACCTCTATGTTATTTATTTTATTTTATATGTGCTGAGAATTGAACCCCGTGCCTCACACATGCTGGGCAAGTGCTCTACTACAGAGTCCCAGCCCCAGCCCCTACCCAGTCCTTTTTAAATTTTTTATTTTGAAACAAGGTCTCACTAAGATGCTTAGAGCCTCACTAAGTTGCTGAGCTTGGCTTTGAACCTGTGATCCTCTAGCCTCAGCCTCCAGAGCCACTAGGATTACAGGCGTGCACCACTGTGCCCTGCTTTCACTCAGTAGGCTATTTAATTTCACCTAAATGCGAAAGAAATCCTTTTTTTTTTTAAATTAAAAAAGTGGCATTTGCTTAGAAACATTCAGTATGTCAACGGGACAAATGCAACAAAACACCACCACCATCATCATATGTTGTTGTTATTTAAAATCAGAGTGTTATACAATTAACAGAACAACTATTTTGTGTAAAATTAATTGAAATCAAAACATCAAAAACAATTGAAAATGACTAGAAATATCATCTCCACGTAAAACTAATTTGTGCTGTGCACCAATAAAATCTGCTTTAAATTTCTGAGCTAAAGTTACTTAAAATTAGTATTTGAACCTGTGTATGTTAAATTCAGAAATTCCAAAGGTTATAATACTCAATATACCAGGCAAGGTTGGCAGCTATTGACAATGCCCTTAATAAGGACAGGGCTCTCTAAAGATACACTTAATACTGTGTTAATTTTATAAAAGTTAAAAGACACTGCACAGTATTCAGTGTTGAAACAAATCATTTAGTCTTAAGTTTCAGAATTTAAGTCAGTGATTTAAATACTTTAGGGCAAGGAAAAAACTGTCCTGGAACCACTTTATTGAACATCATCATTTTCTTTCATCATCTTTCTCTTCACCAGCATCTTTTGGATCCTTCTTTTTCCTTTTGTTCCTTTTCTTTTTCGACCTCAAAAAATCCCACCCCACATCAGACTGTCTTTTGTCCCAGAATATAGAAAAAGCCTTTTTATATTTTCCTTTATCTTAAAATCTGTACTTCCCTTAAGGCTGTATATTATCTGCAACAATTACTCCTGTTTCTTTTAGTTTCCTGACATCACTAATGGATAGGCCAGAATGTGACTTGCAGTGGGGTTGGGGGCAATTTTCAGAATCAAACAAGAAAAAGGCTGAAGGAGATCTCTTTGGTGCATGGGGCCCTTAAAGCTCTCTCTTTCCCCCTGCCCTTTTGCAAGGGGGAATATWTGTTTTAATTTCTCCATCAAAATTGACCTTGTTCAACTTTATTTTATCTTCAAAATTTTTCTTTCTCTTTAGCAGACAAGAATTTCCATCTTTTTTGAGCATTTTTAAAAATTATGAGATTGACTGAAGCACGTGGTTGCTTTTTCTTGTGCTCTATGTTAGTCAACTTTTTGTCACTATGGCAAAATACCTAAGAAAATCAACTTGAAAGGAGTAAAGATTTATTTTGGCTTACAGTTTCATTTCATAGTTGGTTGGCTGTGTTGCCTTTGGGCCTGTGATGAGGGTACATTGTGGCAGGAGTACATAGTGGAGGAAATCAGTTCACCTCATGGTGGCAGAGAAACGAAGAGAGAGGGAAAGGGGCCAGGGCCCCCAAAAATCTCCTTTGAGGGCATGCCTCCAATGATCTAACATCCTTTCACTAGGCCCCACATTCTAAAAGTTCTACCACCTCCCATTAGTACCATAGGCTGATAGCCAAGCCTTTAGCATCTGAGCATTTGGGTGACATTTAAGATCCAAACCAGAACATGCTCCTTCTGCCAAGTTTGCAAAAAGAAAGAGAGAGGGAAGGAGAGAAGGAAAAAGAAAAAGAGCATATATTCTTTTTCCTTAGGACCCCCTTTGCCCCTGTGTCTAGCTAATTTTTTATTGAGATGTAGGGTGGTCAGGGCCTGTTTGTTCTCACTTGCTCTGATGCTATCTGTAGAACTCAATGTATTTCCATAGCTTTTATTCTTTCTAATGTAAAAAAAAATAATTCAGTAATAAATGCTCATTTTTCTCTCCTCTCAGCCAAGAAACAATATATTTTCTATGTCTTCTTTCACCATAACCCCAGCCCTCCCTGAGTCTCAGGTCCTCTTGTGTTCCATGCTAGACCAAGACTCTTATTTTTTCACAGTGTCACTGCTCAGAACCAGGCATAGGGTTCACAGGCCCTCCAAGAACAATACTTCTGTTGATTAATGGAATGGTTGAAATTTGACTCCTTTGTCTCATTCCTCCTGAGTCTTAGACTTAACACAGTATTAGCGTACTGCTAAGAGAGATGGGTGGAAAGAACATGGGATTGGTTTTGGGCAAGCAAACTTTCCGATCCTTTATTTACTCAGGAGTAAAATGAATTCAGTAATCACATTGGTCTATTTCACTAGTTGCTGTGACTCTATAAATGCATTAATTCATGGGAAATTATTTTGTAACCTATAGTGCTGTATTTTGTAACCTATAGTGCTGTATATTGGTTGCTACAATTATTATTCCTAAATAGTATCCTGAAAAACTCTCATACAGAGATTTGTAGAAATACTTCTTAGCTAGTAGCTTTTTTCTTTCCTTTTTTAAAAAGTTAAAATTTTTTTCACAATACCTTTATGCTATTTTTTAAAAAATTTTAAATGATGCTGAGGATTGAACCCAGGGCCTCATATGTACTAGGCAAGCACTCTACTGCTGAACTATAGCCCCAGCTCTTTTCTTTCCTTTTAAAGACTAGTTTGGTTATTTTTTGTCATGTAACAAACTACCCCAAACTTAGTGGCTTGAAACAGGAATGGGTCCTGCAGATACGGTGTAATCTGTAATCTCAGTGACTTGGGAGGCTGAGGCAGGAGAGTCTCAAGTTTAAAGCCAGCCTCAGCAATTTATAGAGGCCCTTGACAACTTGGTAACACCCTTTCTCAAAGTAAAAAATAGAAAGGGCTGGGGTGTTGCTCAATGGTTAAGCACCCCTGGGTTTAATCCTGGGTACCAAAAAAAAAAAAAAAAAAAAAAGAAAAGAAAAGAAAGAAAGAAAAGATTGTCAGCAGGACTGGGATTATAGCTCAGTGGTAGAGCACTTGCCTCGCACGTGTGAGGCCCTGGGTTCCATCCTCAGCACCACATAAAAATAAATAAATAAAAATAAAGATATTAAAAAAATATTGTCAGCAAASTTCAGCCCATAGACCAATATCCATTTTTTTGTAAATAAAATTTCAGTCACCTAGTCCTGCTTATTCACTTATGTGTTGTCTGTGTCTGCTTTGAGCTACATGGGCAGAACTGAGTAGTTATGACAGAGAGTGTGAAGCCCATAAGCCTAAAATCCTATCTGGCCCTTTAAGAATAGGTTTGCTTACCCTTGGCTTAAAACAATACTGTATTATTTCTCACAGTTCTCTGTTGGCAAACTGGGCATTTTTTTTTCTGCTGTTCTCATGTGGGATCACTGAAATGACTAATCTAACAGCTTGCCTGGGCCTGAGGGTCCAAGATACCCTTGCTCACATGTCTGGCATTTGGTGACTGGGTATCAGCTGGGGCATCTTAATTTCCTGGAACGTGGCCTTTCCTTTTCCAGTAGGTAAACTGGGCTTTATAGCAATGTGGTCTTGAGGTGCTAAAAAGGCAGGAGCAGAAAAAAGCTTCTTACTATGAATCATAGTTTCTGGGATTCATACAATATCATTTTCTCATGTTTTGTTATTCAGAGCAAATCACTGGGCCACCCCAGATTTGAGGGCTGGAGAAATAGATTCTACTTCATTGGAGGAGTTGGAACACCATATTGCAAAGGAGCATGAACACAAACCATGTAGTTTTTCTACTAAGAACCATTATTAATATGATCTGCCTCAGGCTACTTTATATGAATTCTTTCTATGTGGTCCAGAATTGAAATGCTTTTTGTGGAAACCATAATCTTCTGAAATGTGCCACTTAAAATGATCAAGGTGCCTTTATTATATAAATTTCATTGTTGTTCTTTTTCACTGACAGCTTTTCTTACTGACACTAAAGATAGAGGCCCACCAGTGCAGTCACAGACTTGGAGAAATGGTGAAAAGGTCCCCTTTGGACAGACACATTTCTTGAGAGCATTTGAGAAGCCCCCTCAGGTGCAGACCCAGGCTCTTCGAGACTTTGAGAAGGTAAGTCACACGATGGATAGCTCTAATCCCAATTAAAAACAGTGTGATGGAATAGTGATGTCTTTTAAAAATATGATGTGTACATTAGCTGGGGTTATAAGCATAGTCATCATAATGGTGTCTGAAGAGCCTATGTCCCATAAGCATATGCTCTGTTAGCTGTGTGCTGGTGGCTGTGGTTTATGGATATTTGCCTGTACCAATCAATTTTTGTTTTACTGTTTGTGGGTTTTTTTTTTTTTTTTAGTATTTATTTTTTAGTGGTAGTTGGACACATACCTTTATTTTATTTATTTATTTTTATGTGGTGCTGAAAATTGTACCTAGGACCTCACACGTGCGAGGTGAGTGCTTTACCACTGAGCCTCAACCCCCGCCCCACCATTTGTGTTCTTATTTACTTCTCAGATGAAGTCAGGAAGTTTAAGTAGCACCCTGAGATTCTGTAGCTGCGACATAGTAAGCCCAGGAGTCCCAGTCCAGTCAGCTGTCATTATATTCTCTATTACTGTCTTGGACCATTCCAAAGATCTGAGTATTGTTTGCTCTATGAGGTTTCTCAGAACCATTTGCATCTCATCAAGCATCTAGCCATGTTGCTTGATATTCCTTGCTTGTCCTTAGATTTGGTCAAGAGCAATACTGATAGTGTAATATAGACCCCCAGCTCTCCTGGAGCAGGGTTGATCCCAGGAAATCTATACAATAGGACCTGTCTGCTGGGATCATAGAGCCCAGAAAGAGGCACCCATAATGTCTTTTACCCATGTTCTAAAAAAAGAAACAGCTCTTTGGTGCCCTCTGGGGGTTACCCAATGGGCAGGCCTCACATAAGTACTGCGTAATTAGATCCTTAGATCCTGTGGTTTTCTTTTACTCTGGAATTGATCACTTTGGTCATAAAACAATAAAACTCCATTTTTCAAAAAAGTTTTGTGTTGAAATTGTTTATCCTGTCTTTTCTCATCTTGTAGTTATAAATGTTTTCCTGGGACTTCAATTATTTGTACTAGATACTGCCATGGCAGTAATGTTCCATATAACATGTTAGGAATTGAACAACTTACTCTTGGTCTTCTTGATCAGAGTTGTTTGTCATGGACACTGATTTTTTTAAAAATCAAAGAATTCTCAGGAATATTAAGTGACTTTAAAGACTGGGCCTCTGAAAGCTGTGTGTCTGATTGTGGGAGTGGGATAGTAACTCAGGCCCCTCCTTTTCCCCCACCTTTTGGATCTGCTACTGCAGAAGGGATGAGAGCTCCTTGTTTGGGGAGCCTTGACAGGCAGTCTTCCCATGTGTTCCTTGTGGCTGAGAAGTGACTGGGAACACAGACATGATGGGTGTTGCCTCCACTGAAAGTTTGAATGGCTGGATGCTGTGGGGCTGAGCAGGGCTTAGCTGACTTTCAGATATAAAGTCCTGAGTCCTTTTCTCTTAGAGTTCAGGTCTAATATCATGGATTTGTCCTTATTTCTTAATTTGGGGAATCACTGACAGAAACCAAGTTAGGATGCAGAGAAAAGGCCACTAAGAGATAGTTAAATCTCTCTCCTCTGTACATCAAGTAATAAGTAAAAAACAATGAGACTAAAACACTTCTTTGTCAGAAACTCATTGCCAGTCCACCATGCTGTGTTGTGCTCATGTATGTGTTCATTCTTATATTCATTCATTTAGTAGATTAGTACCTGCATGAGAGAACTTGAAAATTGGAGGAAACCTTAGTTAGAAAAAATATAGGAAGGGTCAGGTTACATTCCAATGTTCCATCCTTAAAGTGACAGAACACCATGACATTTTTTTGTAAGATTTTAACTGTGCATTCTGGAGTCTTGGGATAAAGGATGGGTGATTGTACTGTAAAACAGGAAGTAACATGTTAAAGGTTTTGTGTCAGAAAAGGGTTAATTCCTTCACAGTTTGAAGAAGATGTCAAAGGAATGCAATCTGAGATGAGCAGCCAGGAATCTGTATTTCATCTATTCTTATTTAATCTATCCATGCAATAAATGTTTGATCACTTTAAGAAATTGTTCCTGCCCTTCGAATAGGTACTGTTTATTAGGAATTTCAGACATTATGTTACTTAAAGGTGCTGTCATGGAGATAAGAACACTGTACTCTGAAATTTGGGAGAACATATCTAATTTTATTAAAGGAATGGTGAAGGGCCTTCTACCAGTGATTATCTCTTATGGCTATATAATGAAAGAGGTTTCTAAAATTGTGTTATATTTTGCTAGTCAGAGAGAGAGAGAGTGCAATACTCTAGACAGTGAGAACATTTTTGGAGAAGAAAGAGATATACTTGTGAGTGAGCCAGTGAGAGACTGGATTATATGGAGATAAGAAAGGAGAGCTTAAACAAGGAGAGAAGTAAAAAATTAATGCATCAGTAAGGTGATTGTTTCTAAAATACTTGCTGCTTTAGGAAATTTGGGAAAATGCCTTTGATTCCAGAGTAAAAAGTTATAGACTAAAAGTGAAAAAACGGATACATTATGTAACCAAAAGATAATTGGTCAGTTAACAAGTGAAAATGATAAGGGACAGTTATGTCAATGCAGGGGAAAGGGATAAGAAGGGCAAAACTTTGAACATATGATGATTTCTCTTTCCTTCTGTATCCTCAGTGAACAGCAGGAGTGGGGTGAAGAATAATGGGGAGGGAAGGAAGAGCAATGCCTTGGGCCCTGCTTTGATTCACCTTTCTAGGTGTCAGTTAAATTGTAACTCCCAGCTCTGTTTGTCAGGTTGAGACCAATAGATGTTGTTTCACAGGATGAAAGGAGAGCATCACTTAGCATATAGCCTTCATTTGTGTCTTTGAATGTGTGAGTGATTTAATTAATTTTAAAGCCTTGTCAGCTTTGTTATAAAGAGTTTGCACTGATAAAGGGATCTCTTTTCTTTCCAGATCTGTATATTAGATCAGTGGGTTATGTGCTTAAGTTGCCTTAGTTTGTCTTTATAAGACTTGAAACAAGCATCATTGTCCTCGTTTTCCAAAATAGAACCAGGGCTCACAGAAACGGTGACTTTTTCTGGGTTCTAGAGTTTATTATATATCACAATCATCAATCCTGACAGATTATTAGGTCAGATATAAATTTTAAAGTTGAGTATAGTGGTGCTTGTCTTTATTACCAGCCACTTGGGAGGCTGAGGCAAGAGGATTGCAAATTTGAGGGCAACTCAGTAACTTAGTGAAACCCTGTCTCAAAAAAAAAAAAAAAAAAAAAAAAAAAAAAAGGCTGGGGCCATAGCTCAGTGGTAGAGAGCTCTACTGAGCTCAACCCCAGGACTATAAAAAAAGAATTAATTTTTATATACAAATGGACATGGTCAATAGTTGAGAAAAAAAATCCTTGTATGCTAAGGAATGGTCATAGCACCCATCCCAGCTCCTGCATCTAGTGATCACTTTCTACATGTCAAGTAGTGTTCTAAGTATGTGATAGTGTTACTTCATTTAATATTTACAATAACTCTGTGGAAAAGGCATTACAGTTATTCCCATTTACAAACAAGGAACTACAGGCACAAAGAATAACAAAGAAATTTGTCTGATGTTTCATGACAGGAGCCTGAAAATAATACCTGTCCCTTGTTCGACCTAAAATAGTGAGTTTTTCGAGGCAGCGGGGAGCTCACTTGGTGAAGTATGGTACTAATGAAGGTGTTGGCTCATCTGGAAAAAGAATCATAAGCTCCTTCTATGAAGAGTGGTGTAGATGAGAATTCCACCAGAGTTCTCTAGGTAAACTGTAAATCCACTTTTAGCGCTCAGTTTTCTCTCTCACAGAAAACTCCATTAATTACTCCATTATTCTGACCTACTTGTAATTCAAAGCTGTTTTATACTTCCATGTCTTTGTTACTACTGGAAAACCTTCTCTCATACTTCCCCTTGTTAAAGCCTTCTCACTCTTTGAGTTTCAGCTGTAGTGTCCCCTGCTTTTTTAAGGATGCTTTCTGTAACACTCTAATCATAGAATATTTACCCAGACTATAAGCTTCTTGAGAACAGAGAACACCTCTTGCTTATTCTTTTCTATTCTCTAGAATCTGGCATAATTTAGTATGTAATAAGCACTCAGTAACTGTTCATCAATTAAACTTATGGAAAAGTTCTGAAGATTGGGTATTCCACTGGATTTGTATTTCTCTTGCCACTACTTGGTATTCACAATAAGTGAATGGTTCTAAAGTGGATATTGGTGGTAGAATGGAAAACCAAGAAATGTACATTTATTTCAGTTTAAACTGGTCATATTCGAAATGTAAAGGAAGGAAAAAATGTAGACTTCTTGAAATAATATTTCACAGAACTTATTAAGAGGATCATAATAGTAGCTAATAATAATAAACACTGTTTATTGAGTGATTTTATACACCAGACACTTTTCTAAATATTTATTTTATTTCAGCAAATTTTGAGTTCATCTTTCTAATTTATAAGATTGTTATTATTATGACATCCATTAAACTATAAAGAGAACAAGGATCAAATAACTTGCCCTAAGTTATAAAGTGGAGAAGCCAGGATAACTCCAATGATTTCAAGGTTCTTGGGGGAAATGAGAGGATCATCTGGGGAAGGAGAGGTTCCATTGGTGGAATGTGTGCAGTTTTGGTTTATGGCAGAAGCCACAGAAGAGCCCTGAAGGGTAGGGGTCTTTGTTAAATCAAGAGGAGGCCTCCACTGCTCCATTCTGTTTACACATTTTCTAATAATGTTGTCTTTAACATGAAAATGCTAGTCAAACCAGCTGCAGCATTCTAACTGTAGACTGAAGCCAGCTTTCCCTGGCAGTCTCAATCTAACCACAGTGAGTCAGCCTGTTGAGATCCCACCCAACCTGGCAAACTTTTCCACTTGGGTCTTGGGTGGGGGGAGAAAGAAGAAAAAAGTGCTAAAATGGAGAGGCTTTTAAACTTTTTACCTTTATGGAACGCTGAATTATCAGAGTCTGGATATGCATTGCTAATTAGG